AGCTGCTACTTCTCACCCAACGACCCGCTGACCACCTTCGAAGCCAATATAGAAGACCTAGAATCGAGCCTCATAGAATCCAAGCTGGATGTCATCATCACTGGCGATTTTAATGCAAAGTCGCCAGAGTGGGGTGAGACGAGGCTCGACAAGAGAGGAATTCTGATTGGAGAAATGATCTCCAAGAACGATTTATTAGTTGTAAACCGGGGAAAAACATGGACGTTTAGACGAGGTGCGATCGGATCGATAATAGATCTAACGATAGCATCGTCTAATATATTTAGCCGCATAAGCGACTGGCGGGTCTCTGAGGAATATACAGCAAGTGACCACCAGTACATTGAGTTCTCAGTCTCAATGGGAGACACACGAGGAGGAAAGAGACAGGAAGCTCCTAGTCGCAAAACCTTCTCGTGGAACATTAAGAAACTCGACAAGGAGAAGTTCAGCCGGTCCCTAAAAGAATCTATCTTAATTGAGGATTCTGGTTGGGTGAGGAGGCCGAAAAGTCTAAATGGAGAGGTGCGAGCGGTGCGAAATATAATCGTCACCGCTTGCAATGCGTCGATGCCACGTCGCAAAGGCGCCTTTCCAAGGAAAAAATCCTTGCACTGGTGGTCAGAAAAACTGTCCTCCTTGAGAAAGGAATGCCTCAAAGCAAGAAGGACATATACCCGTTCTAAGGGAGATCCCTTGCTGAAAGAGGCTTTCAAGGAGGCGAAAAAGGACCTCAAGAAAGAGATCCGCAAGTCGCGACGCCGTAGCTGGAAGGACCTAATCGAGGAGGTCGATAAGGACCCATGGGGTCTGGCTTTTAAAATCGTAACTAAGAAATTAGTGACGAGGCAAAAGACCCCCGGCCTGGACAATCCCGATTGGGTCAGAAAGATAATAAGTTCTTTGTTTCCTCCTGCAGAACCATACCTTAGAAGGGACTGGAGTTTTTGCAAAGTCGAAGAGGAAGAACTCTTCACACTTAGTGAACTGAAAAAAGCAGGCAAAAGATTAAAAACAGGCAAGGCGCCTGGAATCGATGGGATAAGTAACGAGATCCTAAAGTTGGTAATCGACACTTCACCCCAGATTCTGCTTCGATGCTTCAATCTTTGCCTTGAGAGAGGAGAGTTCTTCCGCGACTGGAAGCGACAGAGGTTAGTCCTCCTAAGGAAAGGTGAAAAACCTCTAGATAAGGTTTCATCGTACAGGCCTATATGCCTGCTAGATACGATGGGTAAACTTCTAGAGGATATGGTTCTCCAGAGAATGCAGGGCCACTTGACCGAAGAGAATCGTCTATCCGATTACCAATTTGGTTTCCGTAAAGGCAAGTCCACAGTTGATGCCATCCAGGCAGTTGTGGACATAGCCAAAGCAGGAAAAAACAAATTGGGACCTGGGAAAAAGAAGAGCTTCTGCGCGTTGGTAGCAATTGACATACGCAACGCGTTTAATTCCGCAAGATGGAAAGATCTCATCGAGTCGATGGAAAAGAAAAACATGCCGCCCTACTTGTTGCGGATAATGGATAATTATCTTAGCGACAGGTGGGTTATATATGAGGGAGACACCTGCACTCTCAGGGAAGAGATGCAGCGTGGGGCTCCTCAAGGCTCGAGGGTGGGTCCATTTGTATGGAATGTATCTTACGATGATTTTCTGCGAATGGATCTGCCCGAAGGTGCGATGATCATCGGCTTTGCGGACGACGCGTTGTTCGTGTGCACTGCCGAGAGTGAGGAGGCTCTTGGGACATTGGTGAACGAATGTCTGCGACTAGCAAAAAGCTGGCTGGATACCAGAGGTCTTGAAATGGCCCTGGAAAAGACCGAGGCACTGCTAGTCACAGACAGACGTGGTTATGAGCTCCCACGAATCGTGATAGACGGATTCGAGGTCAAGTGGAGTAAACAAATTAAATACCTTGGTGTGGAGTTGGATGGAAGGTTAAACTTCCACCACCACATGGCTACGGCGTCGAATAAGGCGATCGAGTGTGCGGCTAATCTTTCACGGTTAATGCCAAATGTTGGCGGACCCCGTGAACAAAAAAGAAGACTGGTGGCGAGTGTCGCCCACGCTAAAATGCTCTATGCAGCACCAGCGTGGGCCCCATCCCTGAGGAGTAAAAGATGTGTTACCATCTGTGAAAAGATACTGTCGGCGCAGAGATCGATAACAACGCGTATCATCTCTGCATATAAGACGGTATCTACGAGTGCTGTGCAGGTCCTTGCAAGTGTCCCGCCAGCAGATCTCTTGGCGAGGGAAAGGGAAGAAATGTTTCTCTTTTCTAAAGAAAGCAGTTCCTGGGATGAGGAATTAAGACCAAGCAAGGGCCTGATCCGCAAAGAAGCGAGGCACAGGCTCATAGAAAGATGGCAGGAAAGATGGGATGGTGAGGGAAAAGGTCGATGGACCTATCGCCTTATCCCGGCACTCGCCACCTGGATAAATAGGAAACACGGTCAGGTTTCCTATTATTTGACTCAGGCGCTCACAGGTCACGGGTGTTTTAACTCGTACCTGTGTCGCTTTAAATTACGCGAGAACGAGGTGTGTGCATATTGCCAGTTCCCTGAGGACAACGCGGAGCACACCCTCTTCTCATGCAAAAAATGGGACTTGGAGAGGCGGGCCATGTTCGAAGGTGTAAACAGTCAAGTTACACCGGAGAATATGGTATCGCTGATGACCCAGTCGGAAGAGAATTGGCGGCAAGTCGAGAACTTCATAATCTCGGTTATGTCGAGGAAGGATCTCGACGGCCGCCAAAAAGCGTAATTTAAACAGCTTTTAATTTGTTTGTTTGTTTTTTATTAATTTATTTTGTGATTTATTTGTCCCTATACATTTTTTTTAATTTGTTTTGTTTTTTTTATTCATCTTTGTACAATTTTATGTTTTCAATATTTTATACGCGTTTATTTTTATTTTTTTTTTATATATCCGTTTATAATTTTATCTTTTGACTTTTTAAACTTCTTAAAATTTTTGTTTTTTATTGTTGTTGTGCTGTTAATTCCGCTTTTATATTGAAATAGTTTTAAATTTTTTTAACTATTGACGCAGGAGAACCGCAGACACAGAACAAAGTCGCAGCAGCGATAGAGTTGGAGCGCCTCCCTCGAAGGCTAAAGTCTTACGACAGTTCCGAGGGAGGGTAAAGGGCTCCAAAAGAAGGGTTACGGGTTTTAGTGGGTCGGGCTGGTAGTAGGTCGCCAGTTTATTAAATTTATTATAACATTTATTTATTTATCCTTTTTTTTAAATTCCCTTTTTTTTATTTTACCAACCCCACATAACCTTGGAGTGCGGAATCCAAGGTATCTGTAAACAGATTTCCCAAAATTCCCTAAGCAAAAAAAAAAAAAAAAAAAAAAAAATAATATAATAATAATAATAATAATAATAATAATAATAATAAAATAATATAATAATAATAATAATAATAATAATAATAATAATAATAATAATAATAATAATAATAATAAAATAATAATAATTAATAATAATAATAATAATAATAATAATAATAATAATAATATAATAATAATAATACTATAATAATAATAATAATAATAATAATAATAATATAATAATAATAATAATAATAATAATAATAATAATAATAATAATAATAATAATAATAATAATAATAATATAATAATAAAATAATAATAATAATAATAATAATAATAATAATAATAATAATAATAATAATAATAATAATAATAATAATATAATAATAATAATAATAATAATAATAATAATAATAATAATAATAATAATAATAATAATAATAATAATAATAATAATAATAATAATAATAATAATAATAATAATAATAATAATAATAATATAATAATAATAATAATAATAATAATATAATAATAATAATAATAATAATAATAATAATAATAATAATAATAATAATAATAATAATAATAATAATAATAATAATAATAATAATAAAATAATATAATAATAATAATAATAATAATAATAATAATAATAATAATAATAATAATAATAATAATAATAATAATAATAATAATAATAATAATAATAATAATAATAATAATAATAATAATAATAATATAATAATAATAATAATAATAATAATAATAATAATAATAATAATAATAAAATAATAATAATAATATAATAATAATAATAATAATAATAATAATAATAATAATAATAATAATAATAATAATAATAATAATCTCCGCCGCTGGTTGTCCACTGCCGAGCATCGGTGATGTGTCTGATGTTCTGGGAGAAGCGGATGATTATCCTCTCCCGGGCGCGGCTGCCGTCTTTGATGGCATGGGTGTGCTGGATCTGGATGCATATCCTTAGTCCGGACATTACTGCCATTCTTGACGGCGTTGGTCGCCGGGGTGGGATGCTTGTCCGCTGCCAGACTCGAGTGTCATTTTGGATATGTTCGGTGGACCTTGCAGTGGTGGCGGGGCTTTCCACCAAAGGGCAACCAAACAGTACACTCTACACATACACCTCTCTACACATATATGGGTTACACACAATTACATCATTTATACATCTTTTTCACACATATTCACAATACACTTATCACACCCATATGATTGTTTCCTTCCTCGGCCCACTGGGAGTACCCTGAAACTTCGTTCACTTGTTTTCGGTGGGCGGGGCCTAGGGGTTGATGTGAGCTTGCTCTGCCGATGTGTCAGCCGAGGTAAGGAATCAGGAGCCAGCCCCTTCGGGACCCTGATCAGGAGAGTCTGTGGTGAATATGGAGATCGGAATCCATATTGCTCCGAGCGAGTCCGATCCGTCCGTGTATTCCGGGATCGGCTAAGCGGTGGTTGGGCCTCAGGGAACTGGGGTAGGATACGTCCGAGGGTACACCCGTTCCCAACTATACCGACCCGCTCCTCCACAGACGATGCGCTGGTAACAATAACTTTATGGAGAAACAAACAACGAAAACCGATGAAAACGTTATTGAGGTGATGGATACCGGAGAGACACAGTCTCGTAATACTCCGGATGAAACTGCGAAAGTAATAAAAGCTGTAGCAGAGATACACCAGGTTCCTTCCACAAGTGTGGAGGAGAAAAGCACTTCAGCTTCTGGTGTAAATGTAGCGGAGCAAGCGGTTCCTTTAATTCCGCCATGGGCCGACGTTTGGAAGATCATGATTAGCATCATGGCGGAACAGAGGCTTCAAAATGAAGCTATGGAGAAGACGCTATTGGCTATGGAGGGTTCTTTCAGGAAGAACACACCTAATGAGGTGAAAGAGTACATGGCTGAAGCAAAGGAAATCTCGGCCGGAGTCAGAAGCGCAGGCCTCGCTCTCCGGTCATCAGTAGATAGGCTTCAAAAAACTTTGCAGCCAATGCAGTACCGAAGTGTAGGTCAAATGGCACGTTCCAAAACGCCATCGACCACTCCGAAACAAAAGGGAGGACCAAAGTCTTCTTCTGCTAAAAGCAAGAAGAGAGGTGCCTCAACATCCCCAGAGGACCGGCAGAGTAAAAAACCGGCCTCTACGCTAATACAGAACGAGGAAAAGGTAAATTCTGTCACGCCGTCAAAGGAAGACACTCCTGACCACTGGAGTGCTGTAGTCTCTAGGAAGGAGAGGCGGAAAAATAAATTCGCGAAGGACGAAGCAAAGGAATTCTCGAGTGGTCAGGGGAAAAAAAAGAGAAGAAAGACCGACGCCATTAGGGTGTCGATGGAAAACGGTAAGGCTCCTCCAAAGGAACTTATAGCAGAGCTTTTCGCCACGGTCAACCCCGCTGAAACGAAAACTGAGGTTCTGTCCATTCGAAGAACCGAGAAGCAGGATTTGCTATTCGTTCTTAAAAGGGGACAGGATTTCTCGACCTTCAGCGGGAAGGTGACCGAGGCTCTCAAAGGAAAGGCGAGGGTTTCTCCTCTGGTGACAAAGAGATCACTAGAGGTTAGAGACTTGGACGAGACAACAGAGATCCAGGATGTCACCAACGCCTTAAAAAAGGCTTTGGGCAGGACCGACCTGGAGATCTCCTGCAGACTTATCACCCTGCGTGGAGCGGTGAAGATGGCAGTAGTCCAACTGCCAGAAGCAGACGCTGATGTTCTGCTTGAGGCTGGTAAGGTACCGGTAGGTTGGATAAACTGTAGGATCCGCAGCAGGGTGGAAGTGGAAAGATGCCATAAATGCCTTAGTTATGGGCATATCGCAAGGGTCTGCAGAGGACCCGATAGGAGTAAAGCTTGCTGGAAGTGTGGCTCCTTAGACCATTCCCACAAGAATTGTGCAGGGGAATCCCATTGCACAACTTGTGAGGACAAAGGGATAAAGGAGACAAAGCACGCTCCAGGAAGCGGGTCCTGCCCCGTCTATAGGGAGGAACTGAAGAAGCTGAAGCAGAAGAGGTAAGATTTCTTCAGGTCAACCTCAGAAAGGGTAGTGTTGCCCAAAATCTCCTGATGCAGTCTGCCAGAGAGAGAGGAGTGGATATACTGCTCATTAGTGAGCAGTATAAGAAGCAAGGATTCTCAAACTGGTTTCAAGACTCATCAGGTAGATCAGCAATACAGATATGCAATCCGGGTATCACCACCGGTTCATTCTTGGGTACAGACAAGGGGTTTGTTTGGGCGGACGTGGCAGGTATTCGTATATATAGCTGCTATTTCTCGCCCAACGACCCATTCGGAAAATTCGCTACTGAGATTCGTTATCTTGAAGAAAGTCTGAGAGCTTTTGACGGGGATGTCCTCATTGCGGGAGACTTCAATAGTAAGTCGCCGGAATGGGGAGAGACTCGTCAGGACAGGAGAGGAATTTTGGTTTCCGACATGCTGGCGACGAATGGGCTGGTGGTGTTAAACCGGGGCCACGAGTTCACGTTCAGGAGGGGAGAATCGGGATCTATCCTTGATTTAACAATCGCATCTCCCCGCCTAGCCCGCAGAATAAGAGAATGGAGGGTACTGGATGAGGAAACATTGAGTGACCACCAGTACATAGAGTTTTTAGTCTCTGAGGAAAAACTTCGAGGACGTACCGCACCAAAAAATGGTAGCAAGGGAGCCTCTTGGAACCTCAGGCGACTAAACAGGGAGAAGCTGGCGGAATCCCTAGAAGAGTCGCGACTTATTCGCAAATCAAACTGGGTGAGGAAACCAGCTTCTTTAAAGGGTATAGTGCGAGAGGCGAGGCGGGTGATTGTTCAAGCTTGCAATCACTCTATGCCTCGCCGGCAAAAAAGAAAAACGGGAAAGGGATCTATGTACTGGTGGAATGAAGAACTGGCCTGTCTTAAGAGAGAGTGTCACGCAGCAAGGAGGCATTTTACCCACTCGAAGGGAAACCTCCAGCTGCGGGAAACATGGCATAAAGCCAGACGTACTTTTAAGCAGGCCGTGAAAAGTAGCCAACGCCGTTGCTGGAGGGACCTAATCGGAGATTCCGAGAAGGATCCGTGGGGTTTGGCCTTTAAGATTGTCGCTAAGAAATTAGTGACAAGGCATAAAACCCCTGGTTTGGATGATCCGATTTGGGTCCTGAAAATCATAAAGGCACTGTTTCCCTATGCGGAACCTAGCCCCAGAGAGGACTACACTCACTGCGTAGTACGAGACGAGGAGCTCTTCACGATTGAGGAACTAAAAAAGGTGGCAAAGACGTTAAGAAACGGCAAAGCGCCGGGCAATGATGGGATACCGAGCGAAATCTTAAAAGAGATTGTCGCAGTGGATCCTGAGTTGCTTCTTGACGTCTTTAATACGTGCTTGACAGACGGAGAGTTCTTCGGTGACTGGAAAACGCAGAAGTTGGTCCTTCTCAGGAAAGGCGATAAACCTCTGGATAAGGTCACATCGTTCAGACCAATTTGTTTATTGGATACGATGGGCAAATTTCTAGAGGGAATGGTTCTGCAGAGACTTCAGGAAATCCTGATAGGTAAAAATAGCCTATCGGAGAATCAATTTGGCTTTCGTAAAGGCCGGTCAACAGTTGACGCAATACTCACTGTTGTAAACCATGCGAGGAAAGTCAAAGAGGACAAGAAGAAGGGATTCTGCGCGCTTATCTCCATCGACATACGTAATGCATTTAACTCCGCAAAGTGGGACAATTGCATCAAGGCGATGCGTCGTAAAGGGGTACCAACCTATCTGTTGCGAATGATAGACAACTATCTCAGCGACAGATGGGTTGAATACAAGAGCGATGCATGTCATCTCAAACATGAAATGACATGCGGAGCTCCCCAAGGATCAAAGGTAGGTCCATTCATATGGAACGTCATGTACGATGACTTCCTTAGAATTGAGTTACCTGAAGATACGATAATGGTTGGCTTTGCGGATGACGTCATTATAGTGTGTGGCGCGCGGACTTCTCGGATTCTAGAAATAAGGGTCAACGAAAGCTTGAGACGAGCAAAGCTCTGGTTAGATCTCAACGGCCTACAAATGGCCACAGAGAAGACAGAAGCTTTGCTTGTCACAAGTAAAAGATCCTTTGAGGTCCCGAAAATTCGGATAGGACAGACTGAAGTCTCCTGGGGAAACAGTTTAAAGTACCTGGGAGTGACGTTGGATCGAAAATTAAAGTTCGACCAACATTCTAAGATCACGTCACTGAATGCCGCCGACTGCATGGGAAACCTTTCTAGGATGATGCCCAATGTCGGTGGCCCCAGGGAAAAGAAACGCCGATTAGTGGCGACCGTGGTTCAAGCAAAGCAACTCTATGCTGCCCCTGCATGGGCTGAGTCCCTAAAGAACCGCGGCATCTCTGACGAGCTACTCTCCGCACAGGGTGGTTGTGCGCGGAGAGTAGTTTCAGCCTACAGAACAGTTTCAACGAGCGCTGCTTTAGTTCTTGCGAGTCTCCCGCCAGTGGACTTACTGGCGAGGGAAAGACAGGAAGTCTTTCAGCGTAACAAAGATCTAGTTACCTCGCAAGAGCAGAGTAGAAATCTCGCCAAAGCGGCTATCCGCAAAGAGGCGAGATGTAGACTCCTTGAACAATGGCAAGAGAGATGGGATGGGGATCTTAAAGGAAGGTGGACATATCGCCTGATCCCCAACCTCGCCACTTGGCTAGGAAGAAAGCACGGTGAAGTTGGCTACTACCTGACACAAGTGTTGTCAGGTCACGGATGTTTCCGACAGTACCTTCATAGGTTTAAGATTAAGAGAGTAGCAAAATGCGCCTACTGTGACGCTGCAGTAGATGACGCGGAGCATACTCTCTTTTATTGCGGGCACTGGAGCCATGATAGAATGGCCATGTTTACGGCAGTTGGCTTTGAAACCAACGCCGATAACATGGTGTCTACCATGGTTCAGAACGTGGACTCGTGGAGGCATATTGAATCCTTCATTATTAAAGTAATGAAAGAAAAAGATAGAGACGGAAGACGAGGTTGACCGGAGGAATCCAGTGCTCGGCTGTGTGTGAGCGTGGGGGGGAGGGAATCATTTAGTTTTCCTCCCACCCACGCTCCCACATTGTATAAGCGGATTAAAAGCACGTTAAGGAACACGGTAAGGGGACCCCACTTGCGAAGTTGAAGGCCTGACGGTAGTTCCGCAGGTGGATCAAGTGTCCCAAATTAAGACGGGAGTGGTTTTTAGTGGGTAGACCAGAACAAGAGCGGTCATCCCCACATAACCTGGAATTCATTGCCCAGGTATCTGAATTCGCAGATTTTCCACTTCCGACTACAAAAAAAAAAAAAAAAAAAAAAAAATAATAATAATAATAATAATAATAATAATAATAATAATAATAATAATAATAATAATAATAATAATAATAATAATAATAATAATTAAACAGTGTTTAATAAACAAAGAGGAAAATTTACATCAAATCAAATGAAATAAAATGTGAAATAAATTTTTAATATCACAAAATTCGTTACGAAATACAATGGAAATGGGAAAATAATTTAATTTTAATAAATTTTACCTCTCCAGAGAGAAGAAAGAAGGAAATGTAGAAAATTTACAGCAATATAAAGACTATGATAGTAAAGGGAGTAACGATGGGAATATAAGAGGGCACAAGGGAAAATATAGATTTTCTGATGATGGCTGCAAAATGAGTCCTCGCACGCGTTTGGAATAACATCAATTTTCCTCTTAGCAAATGTCATTCTCTCTTTAAAAAAAAAAAAAAAGAAAAAGAAGAGAACACTTAACGAGATCATTTTATCTGTCAAATAAGTTTCACATCAAAAAATTTGATTTGCAAAATAAATGACAAAAAATAAAACTGATTATTATTATTTAAATTCAACATGAAAATAATGAAGCATTTTTACTAATTTAAATTTTGAGAGAAGAAAGTAGTATTTTTTTATTTTTTATTTTTGAGAAGAATTTAATTAAAACTTTTCTTAAATTATTGAATAGAATTCTTCTATAAAATTTTATTAAAATATTAGTTAAAAAAAAATAATTGAATTTCAGCAAAGAATTTTATTATTTGTGAAAATAATTGAATTGAGAAAAATGATTTAAAAATTTTTTAAAATAATAAATAAATAAATAAATAAATAATAAATCAAAGAATTTTATGAAAATTTTTTAGAATAATAATTCTTTAGATTCAATTCTTTGAATTTAATTTATAGCATCGACGCTAATGGATGTTAATTTATATTTTTTAATAGAATACAAATTTCCTACTATGAGACTCTTATATAAGTTTTAACGTGACAAAAATAATTAATAATCTGAAATTTCTCGAAGTGAAATGAAGTTATTAAAAAAAAGATAATAAAAAGAAAAAAAAGAAAATTGATATTAATGGCTTTTAAATAATAGTCAGTGGTTAGAAAATGAGAAAAAAAATACGAAAATCATTATTATGTCGTTTTGCGATGTCATGAGTGGGACCGCCTATAGATTTCTTCTTTTTAAATTCAAACTCTCGGGAATTGCTCGTAACAAGTTTATAGCAGTTCGACGAGGAGAATGCATAAAAGCGGTAACTGCAAGAGCTTCTAGAAATATAATTACACCCACGATTCGCCAAGTTTCCTCGAAAGGCATTTTTTTCGACATATTCTGAATTTTTATTTTTTTACCAAATTTCTAGAAACAAGAGGAAAAAAATAAAGAAAGAAAGTAAGAAATAAAAAAAAGGATAAAATAAAGAAAGGAGAAAAGAAAAAAAGAAAGGAGGAAAGAAAGAAAGAAAGAGAGAAATAAAGAAAGAAATAAAGAAAAACAGAAAAAATAAAGAAAGGAAGAAATAACGAAAGAATGAAATAAAAAAAGAAAGGAAGAAAAAAAGAAAGAAAAAAAGGAAGAAATAAATAAAGAAAGAAAGAAATAAATAAAGGAAGAACTTAAGAAAGAAAGAAAAAAAATAAAGAAAGGAAGAAATAAAGAAAAAAATAAATAAGGAAA